AACTTATTTTAAAAGCACATACATTCATAATATTTGTTTCCAAGGATGCAGAGAAATCCAATCATTTAGTCAGGGGTGGTAGTGTGTTCATTTTTATTAACAACTATTGTATCTGTCTAAATGATTAGATTTCTCTGTATCCTTCATTTGAAAATGAAATCCAGCATATCCTGGTGGAAGTGCTCGCCTTGCACATTTGAGTATGTCTCCATGTTCTTGAATTTATTCCACTATTCAAACAAGCAAAACTTTCCATCTTAACTTCTAGTATTCATTTGCAGAGTTTACACGTGAAATGAAGTGTCAAGAGTTTGTCTTGATCCCCGACAGGCACGCTGAAATCTGCCTTGTAGACCTCACGCCTTTTAGCAGAGGTGGCCACAGAGTACTTTTTTACCCTTGTCTTGATAAATTTGCCACAGACATAGCAAAATGCCAGATACTTAAAAATTTCTCTCCCTCTCTTTCTTTCTCTCTCTCTCTCTCTCTCTCTATATATATATATATATATATATATATGTGTGTGTGTGTGTGTGTGTGTGTGTGTGTGTGTGTGTGTGTGTAGGTAGATAAATAGTGTGTGTGAGAGAAAGAGGTATATTTTACAAGACCATCTAAACATATAACCATAAATTTTTGAATTATTTTTCTTTAATCTGACAGTATTTCTTATTACTATAAACATTATTTTTAGTGGGTAAACTATGTTTGAGTTAATATTCGTGTTTTTTATCTACTTAAACAGCGAAATTAATAACAGCTCACCTAGATCATAAAATAATGTTCGTAGTAACAAGGCATATAAGCATATACAGACATTCAGGCTGTTGTCCTCATCTTTATTACTACATTCACAATGTTTCCATTTTTATCCATTGAGCCATGTCTTGATTTATGGCAATAATGAGGAGAACAACAGTTCGAAGAATAGAAATAGTGAAAATATATAAACACATTTATAAATATTCTTGTAATGATCCTAGTCTTGTACACACACACACACATGTATATATATATATATATATATATATATATATTAAAATGAATTATTCATACAAAAAGTAGATTAGTAAAGTTAATGATATAAAATGGCAAAAATCCTTTTCGCAAACAAAATTTTAAAGGTGCATTAACCTACTAATCACTCGATGAATGTTATGATCCTTGTTTTAAAAAATTATAAGCTCTATGAGGTCTTTCTTTAATACGCAAGTACTTTCAACTGTACATTCAGTCATCTTCAGGCATGGAAATTATTTTGTTTTTGGTAAAATTCAGGTAGCATCCAAGATGAAAAAATTAAATGCAAATTGAAATATGTTTTTTTTAAATGTGTTATTGATAATGGATACAAACTTCTGGAGCATGTAGTCGTAACATTCATCAAGTGATTTAAAATTTTGTTTGCAAAAGGATTTTGCCATTTTTTGTCATTAACTTTACTAATCTACTTTTTCTATGAATGATTCATTGTAATATTAATTGAACTGCACCACATATTTATATATATATATATATATATATATATATATATATGTAAATTGGGATCAAATATGGATTGAAATCTAATAAAATGATAGGATAAGGAACAAATACAAAACATTTTTAAATCTAATGTTTCATTATTATTAAAGATGAAAAAGATGCTAGATTATAAAAGTTTGTTTCATATCCTATCATATATATATATATATATGTGTGTGTGTGTGTGTGTGTGTGTGTGTGTGTGTGTGTGTGTGTATAATCTCAAGCATATCAATTGTCATATTCGCGACATTACAATTTTATCCAGTGGGCCATATTTTGATTTATGGCTAAAATGATGAGGATAACAGTTCAAATAATAGAAATAGTGTAAATATATAAACTCTTTTTAAATATTCTTGTAATGATCCTCATCTTGTACACATACACGCATATACACACATTCACATATATATATATATATATATATATATCTATATATATATTGTGAACTCTCCCATATGAGGGTCAAGTAGCTCAGTTCCTAGGAACCAAAAGCCCAGACACCAGCACATATGATTATCATGGTGAAGGCTCTCTGCAGAACAAACCACTCTTTATGAAGGGCTGAATAGAGAGACCTGGTGCACTACGCAGGTTTTGAATTCAGAGTTGTCTTTCTCTTAGACCAGTTGCCATCCAGGGCTATAGAACCCAGTCTGTCCTGCTATTTACCCATAGCTGAGGGGAGAAGAAGAGTATTAGGGCATTAGCATGTAAGTGAATATAACGGATTCGACTGAATTTCAAACTCGGCTCTCTGATCCCTCAATTTGACCCACTATCCATTACTCCACCATGCCTCCTCCTGATGACCATTATAGTGTATCAATAGTGTATCAATTTTACTGACCAGTACAAGACCGTTTCTTGCCATAAATCAGTTAACTATATTGCACATACTACCACCTCCTTGAGTAGACATCTCACATGTCACTTATCAGATCAAAGTACTATAAAAAAAAACATCTATCAA